CCAGCAACCAAGTCACGACTTCAAACTTAAATTGCGATTAATCCACTCGTACAATGGATCAAAATTTTAAAGAGTTGTAAACCTACATGTTAGCTTCATATAGGTTCAAACCTCACTCAATTTGGTGCTATGTAGCTCGAGATATCTTAATCTTACTGAACTGGGTTTGCTGTAATCGATTACTATAATCAATTAACTATTTCGTCGGGATTTAATCGATTAAACCATGGGGTTAATCGATCAAATCTTCAACAGAATGCGGACAATCATATTTTTACTACATAATTGACATTCCAATGGTTTCCAAAGGTTCCACTTCGATATTTACACTTAAGAAGTCCAAACAATTCACTTACACTTAGATAATCATTTTTACATTTAATCTCTTAAAGTTTCTCATTTTACATGATCAAAACTCAACATTTCTCAAAGAAATTCAAAGAGCAAAGGTGGGAACACATACCCAAAGCTCATAATAGAAGAAATGAGTGATCTTTGAGGTCTTGAAGTAACCCTAAGGTACTGCTCAAATGGTTGCACGAATTCAAGCTCACAAGTTGGGTTCTTTCTCCATAAAGATGGCTTCTTGAAGCTCCAAAGTGTGTAGAAATGGATCTAACAAGCCAATCAAAAGAAAACATCCCCTTAACCTCACCAAAAAGAATCTTTAACCTTTCAAGAATGAGTTTTTCTCCTCTAAAATGTTTGCTCTCAAGTGTTTACAAGGATTGATGTTCAAATGGTGAATAAAGGAGGTGTCTTGGTTGTTTTCTTGAAAAAATAATGAAACCCTAGATGAGAAGAACATTTTTTGCCATGAGAGAAAATGGAGAGAATTGCCTATGTAGATGAACAAAAGAAATAAGAGTGAGTGGCTAGGTTTAGGTTATTTAGAGTAGACTGACCTAACTCAACCGGTATAAACTCACGCGCTCCAATCGCTTAAATCACTATAATTTTGGACCACAATGTTATATAAAATTTATGATTCTTAAATCTATAATTTATTTTCAGTTCCAGATTTTTTTTTATATCCGCTATTTCTACTGCAGTACCTACAGTATCAGCATTTTTCACCGAAAATGACTAAATTCCAATAATTAATATTTCCTACTAATATTATCATAATTATTTTGTTGTAATTAAAACTTCGTAAAATTTATGAATAATAATTGCTAATTATCTTTAAGTTTCGGATAATGTTGCCTACTGCATTTTAATCGCTAAACCCTCAATATTTATCTTTTTCTCAAAATGTGCTTTAACTTAAATTAATTAAAATAATTAAATATTTCATGTAATAATCCTCATTTAATTATTATTTAATTTTTAAAATTATAATTTACTGGTGCGAGTTCTTACAGTGCCTTATATAAGGTGTATGATATGAATAAGCAGTGTTATATTATTCAGCATTATGTCTCAGTTATAATTACAATGTCGTCTTGTTTAAATACGAAAAGGATTTTAAGATGAAATCGTCCAACGTTTAAAAAGAAAAAGTTTAGTCGTATTTTAATTTAACCGTTGTGATTATAACTGTGTTTAATATCATACGAAATGATAATGAGCCGGCGCACAACGAGGTGTTACATTTTCTAATAAAAATATAATAAAATTAATAATTAAATATTAATTTAAAAAATAGTTCAAGATATTTATTTTGAAATTAAATTATAAATTATCTTAATTTTTTATTGATTTTAAAAATAAATTTAAAAATTAAAAAAATATTATTAAAGATAAATTAAATATGTATTATTAAAATAAAATATTTGCTTTTTTTAGATAATTTTATAACGATATCAGGTGAAAAATAGATAAAATATAATAATATTTAAGTTTAATTCAATTTATTTTTGTGAAAAAAATTAGTGAATTTTTTTAAAATTTATTTTTATTTACCTGCCTTAAACGATTAGATGAGGATATAAAATACAAAATAGAGTAAAAAAAAAATTATATGTATAAAATTATGAGGATATAATTGATATTATTATTAATTTAAATTAAATAAATAATTTATATTCTTTGGTACATAATTTTAATTTATAATATAATAAAGATATAATCTAAAAGTTGAGAAAATTTATTTACAAAAAAAAAATATTTACAAAAAAAATAAAAGTTGAGAAAAAAAATTATATATATAAAATACCACAAGGGGTCTAAGTGAGATATTTTTATAATTATAATGGGTATAAGTAAAAATTTGAAACTACGAGGAGTTAAATGATAAATTATTTAAGCATAATAAACCTAAATGACAAGTTTAAAATCATATGAGATCAAATGATAAATCATAAAAGCACAATGGCAAAATGAAGTTTTCCCTATAATTAATTAAGGGAAAAATGTACCAAACGGTGGTAGCTCAGTTGACGCATGAAAGTTAAGCAGGTGAGGGGGAGAGTATGTGTTCGAATCTTTCCAATATCACATTTGGAAGGGATTTAAAGCCTTAATCCTGAACCCGTCCTGAATCGGATTAGTTGCGAAACAATGAACCAATTGGAATATTTCTTAAAAAAAATTAAGGAAAGAGTATGAATCATTTTAAAAGATATAAAGTTGTGTTATTTTAAGTGAAAGAAGAAGATAGATAAAAGAAGAGAGATAGTGGATAAAAAAAATAAAAGTATAGATCTCACTTCTTTTTTAGAGTGAAATAACATAAATTATACGATTTAAAAGAAAAAACAATTAATTGAGCGGTCATTGTGGACAAATTCGGATCACGTTCTTGTACGCAAAGTCAATTTGTGTTTGTCTGATTGATGGACTTTACATCCTCTAATGACTTCCAAATCAATAATACCATATTATATTCAGTAGATTGAATCATTGAACTCTTCAATTAGTGGCAACCTTATTTTTTCAGGTGAGAGCCTTATCTTAGACGTGAATGATTTGTCATTCAACTCCCTATGCCTCAAATTTTCACTTAGATTCCTTCTAGTTATAAAAAATTTCACTTAGACACTTTGTGATTTAAAAAATAAATATTTAAAAAATAAGTATTTAAAATAAATTTTCTCTCTTTTTTATTTTATATCCTTATGTAATGAATGCATTTATGGTTTAAAAAATATTTCAAGTTATTTATTCTGAAATTAATTTATAAATTATCTTAATTTTTTAAAATACATTTGAAATTAAAAAAATATTATTTAAGAAAAATTAAATATGTATTATCAAAATAATATATTTACTTTCTTTAGATAATTTTGTAGCGATATCGGGTAAAAACTAGATAAAATAAAATAATATTTGATTTGAATTTATTTTGTTGATAAAAATAAGTGATTTTGTTTTTTTAAAAAAGTAATTTTTAAACCCTAAATGTATTAGGTGAGTATATAAAATAAGAAAAAGAGAATACTTATTTTAAATTTTATATTTTAGTTACCACAAGGGATTTAAGTGAAAAAAATTTAACCACAAGGTATCTAAGTGAAAGTTTGAAACCACGAAGGGTTAAATGATAAATTATTTAAGCACAATGGGTCTAAGTGATAAGTTTAAAATCACAAGGGGTCAAATGATAAATCAAAAAATCACAATGGGTGAAAATGAAGTGTTCCTTTTTTTTAATACAAAAATTTAAATGAGATTAAATGTTTAAATGTTGGTATCTCATATGAGGGAATAGAAATCGCACCACCAACGAGATTAACCATATGATTTTGCCAATAAGGGTAACACACTTGTTAAGAAATAAAAACAAAAATAATAGAATATTAAAAATATTAAAAAATAAATTCACTCCTTACTGAATTTTTTTTAACCTGTGTTCTTATACTAGTTATTGACAATTTTATTTTATTTTTTTATTGGATAAAATACACATTACCTTCTTTTAGCTAGTATAAGTCTATCTTAATTGTTTTTATACTAAACACCTTCATACTTACGTTATTATAATTTAGACCCCCAATCTGTTGGGTTTGAAACCTGTTAATAAATAATACATACAGTAATAATTATTAAGTCATAATTATATATATTTGTAAATACTTTTAATTATTATATTTTTTATATATTCTTATATAAATTTAATTAATGTAGTAAATTTGTTAAATTAATAATCTATATACTAGTTAAATTAGTGACGTAAATAACTCAGTGATTCAACTGATTTCATAATAATGTGTTTAAGTTTATAATATCACTTATTAAACATCAAAAAGTATAACTTTTTTTGTTAAATACGCAAAAAGAGTCGTGTTCTGTGATTTAAGTTAATTAAAACAATGTAAATATTTATTTATTTTCATAGATTTTAACTAGTATCAGGTCTAATTATTCTAATTTTGGATTTGAGTCTCTGTATTCTCCCAAATTTTATTTATTTAATTTTTTTTTGGAGGTTACAAGGAATTGAACACAACACCCTACACTACACACACTCTTAACACACACACCCCACACCACTAGGCTAACCCTAGTGGTGCTTTATTTATTTATTTTAATTATATAATTGTGCATTATTAGATCAATATAAAAATATTAAAAAGAATATAATATAACCGCTTAAACTTTTATTTAAAATAATTATTAACATGATATTAGAGTTTCCATAACTACGCATCACGAATTCGATTCAAATTTATTAACCCAGGAAGTGAGAGGACCTGATAGAAACCATTAAAAAATCTCCATCGAAATAACTTTTTAGATTTATATTGCAAACATTTATTTTATGAAAATGATATATTATTAGTTAGTCACCCCAAATTTTATCCGTTATCGTCATTGCTTTCATCATAGCCGTTTCTCACTTACCTTTGACCACTTTTCGATGGCCACCAAAGCAAGTTTAATCTTTGAAAAACAAGGCACAATAGCTCCAAACAAAAAAGGACAAAAGAATAATAAATGAACTTTCAAACGTCAATGCCTTTGTATATACATATATTGGCTATGAAAAACAATGCACCACAATTAAAAGCACGAGAAATTAACAAGTTGCAAGAGATAGACATATATAATTGATAGTTATGGGCAGTGGTGAATACTCCCCATTATTTGAGACAAGAAGGGGAAGAGGGAGGCTCATCTATAGGACCTTTGCAATCTCATTATTTGTGAGTATATGTTTCATCTGGGTTTACAGGTTGAGCCACATAACAAGAAATGGTGAAGATGGAAAATGGGCATGTCTTGGTTTGCTTGGTGCAGAGCTATGGTTTGGCTTTTATTGGGTACTCACTCAAGCACTTCGATGGAACCTTGTCTTCAGGCAACCCTTCAAGAATAGACTCTCTCAAAGGTGCTATATCATTATTTTTTACTCAAATTTTAGCAAATACTCTCTTTGCAAGCCTCTTGTTTATTATATTTGATAAAATGATATGCTGGTCTTACTAAATAATGTGAATCTCCCCTTTATTATTACGAATATAAAATTAAATTATTTGATAAAATAATTTTAAATTCTTAACTGTTAATTTTATTTATATATGGGGTTTCAATCCGTAATGTTGCAGGAAAGAATTTAGTCATGCAAAAAAATATAACTATGTACTATGAATATTACATATTATAATATTAAAAAATAAATTCTCTCTCCTCAGAAAGCTATCGGTTGACGTGACAAGAGAGAAAAAATAATTTTAATAATATAACTATGTATTATCCGTAGTATATAATTATAATATGATTCTTATATTTCCACACACACATACATTTGTAGCATATAGTTATAATTGATAACATGACCAGATTTTCCTTCCTACAACATGATTCTTATATTTCCACACACACATAAACGAACTAATTGTGTAATAATACTAGTCATTTATTCTAAACACACACACACACACACACATATATATGGGAAAAATGTTTCTGCAGTTAATGCAGATAAGTTATTTGCATTTATTCCCAAAACGACATTGTTTTGGTATTGAAATCTTAAAAAATTATAAATATAAAGACTATTATAACCCTGAAATAAATTAAAATTATAAAATACCACGATTTCTGTCCCAAAATGACGTCGTATTGGACTTACTGCAGATAACTTATCTGCAGTAACTGCAGAAAAAACGAACCCTATATATATAAGTAACCATTGGATGGACGGAAATCAACGGTTAGGATGAGGAGTAAGACTTATAAGTCTTACTTTGGAGTCAAATGATCTCTCCTATATATATATATATATATATATATATATATATATATATATATATATGAGAAAAGTATTTGTACAGCCACTTTAGATAAGCTTATCTACAGCTACCCCTTTTTAACTAAGTATGACCGGTCATACTTAGTTATAACTATAAAACTGTTTTTTTTTCTTTCCTCAGACATTGTCGACTGACGTGGCGGAGAGAGAAAATGCAATTTTAATGCATGACCGGTCATACTTAGCTAAAATGGGGTGACTGTAGACAACCTTACCTAAAGTGGCTGCAGAAATATTGTCTCATATATATATATATATATATATATATATATATATATATATATAATATAACAGTTTACTTAACTAATATATGAGCATAACAATAAGAAATATTACACCCAATTTTTATTATAACAGCTAATAAATGGTATAGCAATACTTATATCGGCGTAAATTCGTCATGAATGGATATTGGTATGGCTCATATTTCGCATGGCGATGAGGGCCCTTGTAACGAGTGGCGGTGAGGTGAATATAGTACAGACAAGTTGGACGTAGCCTATATGGGGTCAACCAGGATAAATCATCGTGTCAATCTCTCTTCTCTTTTCTCTTTTTTTGTTTTGTCAATTTTGTGTGTGCATCGATTTCCAACAGATATATTATTTAACAAAGATGAATTGGAAACTGATATGTGTGTGTTTTGGAACAGATATGAGAATAGGTTGCCAAGAGTGGACATCTTTGTGTGCACAGCAGACCCAGAGATTGAGCCACCCATGATGGTGATTAATACAGTGCTATCAGTTATGGCTTATGACTATCCACCTGAGAAGACAAGTGTGTATCTCTCGGATGATGCTGCCTCAGAAATCACGTTCTATGCTATGCTAGAGGCTTTTACCTTTGCAAAGCATTGGGTTCCATTCTGCAAGAGGTTCAATGTGGAACCCAGGTCCCCTGCTGCATATTTTAATAGTGACCCTAATCAAACCAAAGAATTGAAAGCTATCAAGGTATATATAGTAATCAATCATCTAAATTTGAATTGTTAGAACCTAGAATTTCAAGGATTTGTTAATTAACACATAATTTTAGTTACTAATATGAATGAGAATGAGAATATAATTGTACCAAAAAAAATAAAAACAAAGTCTTCTTTGAAGTTTGTAATATGCATGCTATTTTGATATAAGATAACTTTTTCTTATTAATTATAGTGTTCGTACATTATTTTGGATACATAGATAAAGTTAGATATCGGTATTCCATCAGGGTGAGGACATATCTTTATCTCTTTGACGATTTCGAAGGAACTACATATCCTTACTAGTCAACGAGATTCAAAGTCACGCCTAGAAACATATTTTTTTTTTCTCTTATTTTGAAATATAACAATAATACATGGTGCCAAAGCTTTTATTAGAAAGTTGTTACGAATACCTCATAATCAATCATGATTAGAAAAAAGAAGAAGTGAAGTTTGAAAAAAAAAATAGTAACTGACAAAACATAATAGACTAAAGTTTTTATTTAAAATTTTTGATATAAACAATATTTATCTTCTTATATTATAGAGAATTATAGTTCTCTTTGTTTCATGTTGTAGAAATTATACAACGAAATGGAAAGACGAATTGAAGATGCAACCAAATTGGGTGGTGTACCCAAAGAAGCACGTTTAAAGCATAAAGGATTTTCTCAGTGGGATTCATATTCTTCTCGACGTGACCATGACACAATTCTTCAAGTAAATTGCTTTCTTAAGCATATTCAATTCAATTTAGTGTAGCAGTTTTGTCACCATAGCACATGCCCTGATGCTTGTTTACACTTATGTTTTGATTTTCTTACTAGATACTACTTCATAAAAATGATCCAAATAACTCAAAAGATGTAGATGGGTTCGTTTTGCCAACTCTGGTGTATTTGGCTCGCGAGAAGAGGCCCCAATATCCCCATAATTTCAAAGCTGGAGCTATGAATTCATTGGTATATATTATATATATATAAATTTCTTTTATAGTTTTAATTTATTATTTATTTATAGAAAAATATTATATTTATAAATTTTTTATTTACAAACTCTTACAATTACACTATCTCTGACCGGTAAGACACTCTTGAGTAGAATATTATCAATATAACCATACTCTTATTTATATTGGTTAATCTTTGATAATTTTTATACGTATAAAATTTAGAAAATTGTACTTAATGCTAGTTTGTACAAAAAGTTAGTTCACATTAAAGTGCACACTCCATAGGTGCTATTTGATCACTCCACGAATACAAATTATTTGATTTGGCACATTATCAATTATTCAAACATGGTCGTGAATTTGTATGAATATGGTGCCTAATTAGTTACGAGTGACAAGTATGAAATATGTGCTTGTTGGTATGAAGTATGATGTATATTAATAGCTCACATTCTTTTGTTTGGTCTAAATGCAGTTAAGGGTGTCTTCAAATATCAGCAACGGGAAAATTATTCTTAATGTTGACTGTGACATGTATTCAAACAATTCACAATCCGTGAGGGATGCTCTCTGTTTTTTCATGGATGAAGAGAAAGGCCATGAAATTGCTTTTGTTCAGTATCCACAGCATTATGAGAATGTCACTAAGAATGATTTATATGGAAGTATTTTAGTATCAGTTAGCGAGGTAAGTTATCTGTAGAATCAAAAGCTTAACAAGTTAAATATTAAATTCTAACATGTTGTCTCGAGTTCAATTAGAAAGTTATGTTAAAAATTTGGTTGGGAGAGGCTTTTCGTCCTTGTAGTCCTGCATATAAATAGCATTATGCTATTATTGTTGATAAATTTATTTATACGTCTTTATCTGATAGCTTAAACTTTTGTGGATTTTTTATGTATGAAATGAAGGTGGAGTTCCATGGTGCAGACGGTTATGGTGGCCCTTTGTATATAGGAACTGGCTGCTTTCACAAGAGAGACAGTCTCTGTGGGATGAAGTTCAGTGATCAATACAGGAATGACTGGAAGATTGAAGATGACCAATTCATAGAAGCAAGTTTTCAGAAACTAGAAGAAAAATCAAGGGCTCTTGCAAGCTGCACCTATGAAGAAAACACACTATGGGGAAAAGAGGTCTCTCTCTTTTTCTCTTTCACAGACACACACACTCCTCATAGTATTATAAAAGAGTAAATATGTTGTGACTAAATTTAGCTGCATAATGTTTTTCTGAATTGCAGATAGGTTTGAAATATGGGTGTCCAGTGGAGGATGTGATAACTGGATTGTCTATACAATGCCAAGGATGGAAGTCAGTGTACTGCAACCCACCAAGGAGGGCTTTCTTAGGAGTAGCTCCAACCACTTTGTCTCAAACACTTGTTCAACATAAGAGATGGTCTGAAGGAAACTTTCAAATTTTGTTTTCCAAGTACAGTACTGTGTGGTATGCTCTTGGAAGGATCAATTTTGGACTCCAAATGGGATATTGTACTTATGGCTTGTGGGCACCTAACTGTTTAGCAACACTATATTACTGCATCATCCCTTCACTCTATCTCCTTAAAGGCATTCCCTTGTTTCCAAAGGTAAAAATCCTCTTTTCTAAGTGCTTAATTTTAATTAAATAAAGGGAATTCATTCATATTTTCTCATAGTTTATAGAGTTGTAGATAGAAAAGTGTGCCCTGCTAAAATTCTTTTTCCTTTTTTGTGCTATTTTGTTTTACTCATTGTTACATTAATTCATTTTCTTTGTTCTTTTGGGAATAAAATACCAAAACCAAAGTGGAAAAGCTTTCTAAGGAACTAACTCAAATTTTCCCAAAATCATACACGGACATCCAAAATGACTTGTAGTTAGACCCTATTAATATGTGTGCATACATGTACCCAATGGCAGACCTAGGTTGGTTCCATTGTCCGCACTTGCAGATTAGGAGGAAAAAAAAAATTTACATAGAATGTGTGGTTCAAGTCAAGTAAAAAAAAAAATATAGGAAGATTAAAAGGAAAAAGGTAAAGAGTGGAGGAGAATTACACGGAATTTTTCATGTTTTTTTATGAAACAAAACTGGTCAACTTTGGATCAAATAGACATCGAAAAAGGTGGGTTTTTGATCGATTAACCCCTACAATTATACCATATTTTACGAATATTTTTTTGTGGTGTTTATTTATTTTTTAGTTATCATTATCGATTATTTCCTTAAAACTTTGGTTGATTCACCAAAGCTTTACTTTTGAAGTGGAAGCAAAAATTGGATCATGATTATGATCTTTAAAAAAAAACCGGGGGCGGCACCCTCGAACCCCTGCCCTAAGTATGCAGACATAAAGAAAATTTTCTGGGTCCGCCACTGCATGTACCTACACAAATGTGTATATATGAACATGATTTTTCTAAGCAAATACATAAAATGTATTGAGCATTCATGTGTTAAATTGGTTATTGTTGGATTTATCAGATGTCAAGTCCATGGTTCATACCTTTTGCATATGTAATACTCGGGGAAACTAGTTATAGTTTGTTGGAGTTTTTGTTCTCTGGAGGCACATTTCAAGGTTGGTGGAATGACTTACGGATATGGCTATACAAGAGAACAAGCTCTTACCTATTTGCCTATATTGACACCATCTTGAAGCTTTTTGGATACTCGGATTCAGCCTTTACAATCACAGCCAAGGTTACAGAAGAAGATGCTTCCAAACGCCATTATAAAGAAATTATGGACTTTGGAACCTCCTCTCCAATGTTCACTATACTAGCAACACTTGCATTGCTCAATTTGTTTTGTTTTCTTAGTGTGTTGAAGGATGCAGTGCTAAGGGAAGGTGGTCTTGGAGCTTATGAGAAAATGGTGTTACAAGTTCTGTTGTGTGGCTTTCTGGTTCTCATCAATTTGCCTCTATACCATGGCCTTTTCTTAAGGAAGGACAATGGCAGATTGCCTAGATCTACTGCCATCAAATCAACGGCACTGGCTCTAGGTGTATTTATCTCCTTCAGCTTTGCATGATTAAAACAAGTGCCTCTACTTTAATTTTCTTTTTTAATAGGAAGAGAAGTATTATTCTTCAACATGCCAGTTTGTTGTAATGTTTTATCTTCAAGTTAGTTAAGATTTAATTCTAGCATAGCGGTAAGGTTGTTTTTATGACTAAGCCATGTGTTTAAGTCTTGTGTATCGCGATTTGCCCTTTGCTCTTTTGAGATATGATGTAATTTTATCATTATTTTTAACTAGGAAGATAAGGAAACTTTTAATGTTTCCCTTTTCTACTATCAATCTATCATCATAGCAGTGATTAATTTGGGAGGGATGTTGATTCACACGAAACTGATATGGTATAATTGCATTTGTGTTTAATCAACTAACTTAATTTTTTTCATGTTAAATAGACAAAAAAAGATTGATAATCGTATATTTGTTTTCCCATTTGGAAAGTTGCAAACCATGATTTGGGTAAAAGTATATATTTTGTAACTTTTGCCAATGTTTAAGTTTGCTTGGATTGACTTATTCCAGGGCTAAAAAGCTTTAAGGTTACAAAGAGAACTTACAAAAATGATTATTTTCTAAAGTTAAGCCATTTCCAAACCTACACTAGGTCATTTTTACTTTTTATATATATTACATTTGATTTGTGACACATTACCCTATGAAATTTGGATAAAAAGTGAAAAACATTATATTATATACAAATCTTGTTCAGTAAATATACTAAATAAAAATTCTTCAAATGAATTTTTAAAAAATAAGTACCCACTATACTAATTATCAAACGAACGTTATTCATCCAACACATATTTTGTTCTAAACTCGATTCGCAGAGGATCACAGCTCTGTATTGAAATCGAAAACCTCAAACTTCACGAACTGCTCTACAAAACAAACCATCTTACGTTTCTCTTTCTTTTCTTTTTTTCTTGTTGAATCCTTACTTCCTTTTTGTTTCTGATTTCATTTTGGAGTAAAATCTTCGATTGAAAAAAGGTAACATTCTTCTATTTGATTTTTGCAAATGTATCTTTCTAATCATATTGATTCGTCCTTATGCGATCTATATTGAATACTTAAATTCTTAATTTGGAATTCATTTTTGTAACATAGTATATATCACTTATCAGTTGCATAATAGATATATGCCTTCCCTGAATTTTGGATGGAATGAGAGGGAATATATTTTATTTTACACAATCAACATTTCAAAAGGTGATAGATAATTAATATGAAATTTGTGGAAAGGAAAATAATTTCAAATAGCTTAAAAAACTGATGGACTAGTGTCATGCACTATTGGGAGTTTTGAGGAAAATGATGATGGGAAATAATGCAATTAGACTTGGGGATAACTCATAAAGCAAATAAAGTTTTTAGCATGCTCACTAGAGTGTTGTTGATTGTTGAATGTGTCAATGTAGAGAAAGAGATGAAGATGGGACTACCCAATTTCACCGTTGCAATGGTAATCTTATTAAACCTGAATGCAGTGCTTGGAATTAGATTTGTGATTGATAGAGAAGAATGCTTCTCTCATAATGTTCAGTATGGAGGGGATAGAGTCCATGCTTCATTTGTTGTGATCCAGGTTGATTCAGGTTGGCAGCAATATACTCAAGATGGTGTAGATCTTATGGTAAGCACTATGATATATATATATTTATCAGAGCCTGTGTGTTAAATTGCTTTTCTTATCTTAAGAGATTCCTCGTTTTAAATTTATGTGTAACTCTTCATTGTATATTAGCCTTTCATCCCTACCTCGTAAGTCGGCGAGTCTTGTGCACTAGGTTTTCCCTTGAAGGCGAGCCTTAGAGTAGCAATAAGATTACTCTTTGTGATGAGAAGGTCCTAGGTTCAAGTTTGGGAAACTAACTTCTTTGTAAAATTACAAAGATAAGACTACGTATAACTGCTCTTGCAAGTTAAGAAGCCTTGTGCATCGGAATTTGCTGTTTGCCCTCTTCATGCTTCAGAAGTCAACTACTAATTCAATAGTTTTGTTGAAATAATCAGGTAAAGGGGCCTTCTGGTGATCGAATTCAAGATTTTCGTGACAAGATAAGTGAAAAATTTGAATTTGTGGCTCGAGACAGTGGACCTCACCGTTTCTGCTTCACCAATAAGTCTCCCTATCATGAGACAATTGATTTTGATGTGCATTCTAACCACTATTCATACTTTGATCAGCATGCAGAAGATGGTGAGCCATACGTGCCTACTAATAAAAATTTGTTACAATTTAGTTTGTTTTGGTCCATTTTGCAACTGTGAAGCCTTCTGGATTGGTGAGAGTTACTGTTGATATCTTCATCTATGCAGAGCATTTTAATCCTTTGTTAGAACACGTAATAAAGTTAGAGGAAGCTCTTTTTAACATTCAGTATGAACAGCATTGGCTTGAGGCTCAGACAGAACGCCAGGCAATAGGTACATCACATATCACAATAAGTTTCTTTTGGTTCAATTTCATGGCTTCAAATGTCTAAGGAGGACTATTATTGTTAAAAAAAACCACTCCCTTTTAAACCTTGATTAGCGAGGGTGGAGTGAGAGCAATTCTTATATATAATCTTACGTTTGCATATTTAAAAGGACGTTTTTGGGATTCAAACATAAAGAAACAATTTTATCTCTGCTTCATGCTTGCCCTTTTAGGACTATTATTGTTGAATTAAAATAAAATTGTGGAGGTATAACAATAGAGGATGATGAATGGGAAAAGTAAATTATAGATAATAAACCATTTGAGTTTGATATACTTATGTTAATAAGAATTGTTTTTTGAAAAAAGAGGGGGGTGGGAAGAAGTATCTGGTTTCTGAATATCACAGCTGATTAATTTTATTTCCAAGTTGACTGGGTGTGGTTGAGCCACTATTCATTTGTGTTCAAAAGTGAGACTTGTTAGAATACTAGCCTACTAGGTCTTAAAAACTTTCCAACATCGGAAGAAACTTGTCAATTCAGTTTTTGACATTTTGGCCACTTTATGTCTTGATTCTCTGTTTAAGACACAAAGCCTTGCTCCTTTTCTAGTCTAAGTAATTGTTGGAAGCAAAAGAGTAAGGCCTTGCAGTTGGATAGTGTGTACCTTGGACTTGGTCAATTAACACCAATTTAGAAAATTTTATTTTCTTTCTGCAGAATTTATTTATTAAATTATCATATTTGTCATCATAATCTATTTTCTCACAACCGGTTATTTTTCTTAACATGAGATTTCAGACTTCGTGGTTATTGACTCTGTTATATCTTAATTTATACTGTACTTAACATGATTTTAGAATAAATTATTCACGAGAATGGATGATGATAATAGATTGTGCACGCTTAAGTTCACGAAGGATACCCTTTACAAATTGAATGGTTAATAAAATACAATGAATTACTCCTTCAGACGCCCTATACATAATGGATAGATTATTCTTATACCAGTATAAAAATAAGAAGTCTTATCCTCAATCTTGATTATTGATCTAATAAATCAGAACCATTAAATATAAATAAAATCAATAAGCAAGATTGAGTGTGTAACAAATTATAAAATAACAAATTAGATAGAATAACAAATTATATCTGACTAGATTTCTATTGCAATTGCAGTAAATAATGCAATGAGCTCCAGAGCAGTTCACAAGGCCATTCTTGAAGCAGCAGCACTAGTTGGTGCCAGTTTCCTCCAAGTTTATCTTCTTCGGCGCCTCTTTGAAAGAAAGCTGGTGATATAGAGTCTAATTATCACACTGCAATTAACTGTGTGAAGATTTTGGAACCAAACTTTTTAGTCCATCAAATTTTGTTTGCATTTATGGGTTAAATTGCATGCATAGTGATTACCAGATTGAAAATTATTTAGCAGCTCGGCACTTCTTTTTAGGCACATGGACATGTATTCCTGTCTCACTGTTATGCTACACAGAATAAGTCATGTTAACAATGCTGTCTCCGTGCTTGCTATCTTGAGTCCTCTTAAAGATTAGCAGAATTCACAATGTCAAAAAGAATTTCTGCAGAACTTGCAAGCATACAATTGTAAGGCTTCATGTACTTGTAATCTAGATTAGAATAAGGGCAAACAAAGCTACAGTATAGCGACAATTATCACATAACTCCTAACGAAACCTTCCTCTAATGATTTTATTACATATGACAAGAACCCTTGTTTTCATACAAAGTTGAAACTTCAACGGAGAGAAAAAAAAAAGTAAACATTTACCTTTTTGATAACTACAGTGCTATTGGCATGCTAAGTGTGTACCGGAATTTTGGATCCAACATGTCTGCAGGAATATGACATGTCTTATGAGCAAAAATAAGTAAATAACTTAGTCTTTCATTCATTTATTTTTCCTTTTCTCTTTCGTTACCGGTTTGGAAGAATAGTTGGGACTGGGAAAGAACAGGCAGATAATGGTAAGTTGGTAACCAATATCAAGGCACGTACCAAATTGCAAGCTTTGTCCAGGCAACGAAATCAAGGATATAAATGGGTTCATAAAATAGTATTTGTTTGATAATTCAACAAGGAATACAATGTGACAACGCTCTAGCTCATAGCGCAAACAAGGCAAAACAGGAAGCAACCTTGGCTCCTAAAAATAAATCACAACATTGATACACACACATATAAATAATAATCTGTCTTCTTTGCTTTCCCCCACTGCAGCTCACTCTTACAGCACATAATCTAAATTCCAGCAGAATTCACTTATGGCTCTACAGCTCCTATCTTTGAGAAAATACTGTGGGGCTAGTAACACATAAACATTGTTCTTCTGTTCAAGCTTTTCACTGGAGCAACAATTGCTATGATTCTGCAGGAGGGTTTATGCAGCAAAACCATTTTTTCTGAAAACCAAGTGAAATCATTCATAAGGCGAAAAAGGTAAATACATACAGACTGAATTAGTTTGAATGCTCCACATCTATTATTTATTCAATAATTAATACATCTCCATTTGACAATCTAAATGGTACGAAAATCAAATGCCAAGGAAAAAGAAAAAAAAGAAGATAGATCCGCCTTTTCTCCGAGCTATCTGTTCAGAAAACAAACTTAATTTCAAAGGTCAACAAATTATCAACGCTAAGTTGGCCAACCATAGACCAAAATTTGCAGGTTCAAGCACCACAACCATACATATCCAGGTGCAACCAAAACAAATAAAAGATAGACCCATGTTTTTCCCCCTTTCTTTTGGATTTTGACATTTTAATCCTTTTACCTTCATCATAATCCCGGTTTATTATTATAAGGAATGCATATATTTTAATTTCAAAAATAAGAGAGCATCCTCAAGGATAATGGTGAAAAAAGGAGGGAGGGGCTGGGGAGGGACCACTCAGCAGAGGTTAGAATTTATAGACTATAAATCATGGTTTCAACTTTCAACTGATCTTGGATTAGATTTAGTTGGCCAAAGCTTCTTGTTTTTGTTGTTTTTTTCTTCTTTAACTTGAAATCTTCTTGATGTGGTATTAGGTTGCTTAGACTGCCATCTCATTGCTTCACAATTCATTAAAAAAAGAAGACATGCGTGTCGCAATCAGCATTTTGCAAGCTTGAAAATTGGGCAAAAATATCTTGTGCTTAGATTAAATATAACAAACAGAAGTGTGTGTGTGTGTCAGTTATAGAGAGAGAGAGAGAGAGAGAGAGAGAGATATTCAATCAAGAACATCTTACATTCTGAGCTTTGCCAGGATCTAATGCAGGTTTGCTCTGAGGATTAGTAGCAGTCTTTCCTGGTGACTCAGGATTACCACCAGTCTTTTTCTCATCCCTAGCTTTATTAAAAATCACTGTGAACCCCTCAGCTGAGGCAGGATCATTGACATCCCATTCACCAAATTTTGGAAGTGGCCGACCCTTTTCCTGTGGGATAATCAGATTAGCCAATGTGAAATAAAGATTTAAAAAACTATAAAAGAAAACTCCTTATTATGCTTATGAACTTGATATTTTATAAACTCTGAAACTAATTAAATTGGAAAAGAAAGCTGATGATGGAATAGATTCTCTACATACTACAAAAATTTGATGAATGCATGCCTCGAATAATAATATTGGGTGCAAGATACCATTAAGCATAGAAGAATGACTGACCAAATATAACACTGTAAAAATGGAGAAGGTTGATTAAAAGCAATAGTTGTTAGTTTGGAACCCAAAATCCCTTATGATCATAATTCATAGGAATGCTTCTTTGGAATCTTCTAGGGTCTATTCATGAAAGTCGTTCTTCCAAATTCTTATTCAATCTCCATAAAGGGAAGTCTTTCTAATTGACAACCCCCTTTGCTTATCCATAATCTCAAAGGTCAAGTCATTATTTGGAATTTGGACTGCACTGCTTGATATAAAACAGTTAATCACAAATGATTTGCAGCATGTTCACAAACAACACAAAGTTCTCTCATGTTTCTTTCTTTTCTATTTTTTCTTTTAGCTTTTCCCTACTCTAAGACTGGTAGTCATTCATCCCTACAGTACACTATCCAGTGGCTTAATATCTATGGTTTAGACTCTTTGGTATGGTATCAACGGGGAATGTTGGACTGTCCTGCAAGTTTGGAACAACTTGTATACCATTTCAAATATTTTTGGTAGATCAAACAGGGTAAGGCTCTATGGCATTGTGCAATGTAAGCAGTGGATAGCTTTCCCTTGTTCATTTGTCTCTTTTATAGTTTAGTTTTGAGTGTTCTTGCTTCCTTTACACAGATTACTTATTTTAAACTGATTTACTCCCCTACTTGCTCTTTCTAATAAATTCTGTTATTATGTAAAAAAATAAAAACAAAAATAAAAATGCTTGTTCTAAGTTCTAACTGACTCGTTTAAGCAACAAGAACTAAAGTTCACATAAAATAATTCATACATAAAGAAGAAAAAAAAATAAAAAATTATGAGGCAGCAACTCAGAAACTAGAACAGAACAACTAAAAATTCTGAAATTTCACCCCACACAAGGAAGGAAGAAAAGGAAATCAGCTAGAAGTTATAAAATATCTTATCTACAAGAACCTTTGATAAACCCCCCAAAACAGTATCAATCAAATTAACCAAAGCAGACGGTGATACAAAACAAGAGAAAAAGAAAAGAATAGTTAAACTGTATATTTAAACTGACTTCCAACAACCACCCCATATAAGGCAAAATATAAAATGAACTAATAAATCTATCTAACTTATTTGACAACCACGCACGCTATAGAGCAGCATCCTAAGACTACTTTGTTCTTTAACTTAACATTTGAGGATCGAATCACAAGGCATATAAATTATACCAAAGAATAAAACATTTTCAAAAAAAAAAAAAAGAGCTTGCTGGTTCGTAGAAATCATAATCTATCGCATAATTATATTCCAAAGAAACAAAATCCTACCACAATGGAGCTCCTTTTACAATATAATGCATCTTCTCTGGTTTTCTCTTCAAATTTCAAACCCACCCCATTGAAAAAATGAATTTTTGATCAAATATATTAACCTAAATTCAAATAATCGAAGAAGAAGGATCACAGTACCAAAATCCAGAAATGAAAAAAAAAAAAAAAAATTTATAGGACCAATAAATCAAAATTATCATGAAAAAAAGTTAAATTAACCCCACACACAAAAAAAAAAAAATTGCAAATCAACGATTGGGGATACAACAGCGCAATACAATGACCAGAAACTAAATCATATCAATTCGGAAAATATAAATCATTACAAGAAAAAATAGCAACAAAAATAGAGAGAGAAAAACACACTTACCGACATCAATACGAGAGAGGAAATATTTTCCGGGAAAATGAACGGAGTTGGAAAACGCCAATAAATAAAAGGAATCGGAAAAAGAAGAAAATTCTCTGTGTGTCTGTGTGTGTGTGAGAGAGAGAGAGAGGGAGAGGGAGAGTTAACGTTAGAGAGAGAAAGTGCGTGATGATGAAGACCTTGATGTCAATAAGAGTTGGGCCGAAAATGGGCCTTACGGGAATGAATAACGGGATTCTTTGAACGTCGTTACGTGTTCGATGGGGACGGAATAATGTTCCGTTAGATTTAGCGTCACCCGTGACGTGGAGCCGAATATGGACGGATGAGAGTTTGGGGAAAGTAACGGAACGGTGAGCTGGCAAGTGTTAACGCCGTAACGTGATGTTACTTTTAACGATGCCTTTGTTTCCTTTCTTGGAAGGGAGCGAGCGTCTTTGGTTCTCATTAGAAAGTGATGCTCTTTAATGTTGACGAGTGTTTTTCTTTTTCAATTTAAGTCAATCTGATCTGATCATAAATAAATAATTATAATTACCGTATTAGATCCTTCGTAACTTTATTTTCGGTCATAAATAACTAAGCAAATTCGAGATCCTATAATAATATACTACGAAACAATATGATTTGAATGCACCACTACACCAAGAGTTTAAATTTTAATATATCAGATTAGTCGAATGTTCCATCCACCAACAATGGATAATATTAAAAAAGAAAAAGTAACAATGGGATCAAGTGATAAAAAATTTATTATTTTTAATTAAAATTTTAAAGTTCTTTTGGAACAGATAAAATAATATTGGGAGAGTCACTCCCTATATGTGAAATGAATTAAATGGATTTGGATAAAAAAAAAATTTAATATAGTGAAAGTTTTTAATATAACAATATTCTTTAAATAATAGCATTTATCTTTCTTACATTAAGAGTACATTCAAATTAAGTTCTTAAGGAATTTTCGGCTCAATTGATAGGGACTCATGTTTTGATATGTGCCCGCTAAAACTCTTTGTTTCTTGTATATCTAAAAGAGATTGAGTTTTGCATATAAAATTGTGTTATTTTAGTCAAAAAAATATTGTATTATAATGAGAGAAACAAAAATTATGGTGAGAGAAAATAAGAGATTTTTTCTAATTTAAATATTAAATAAATAATAATAATTTTAAGAGCAAAGCCTCTTTTGGGTTCTAATAAAAAATATGATCCCCACTTTAATCCCTTACAAAAATAAAATTAGTCCTGATGTCCCTTAAAATTCAAAGTGGACTCATTTCGTTGAAATTATGGTCCCTCAGAAATTCAAAACAGACACACATTAGTCCATCAAAAGATTTAAAATGAGTCCACTTTGAATTTCTTTGAGACCTCAGGACTTTTTTTGTTTGTAAGGGACTAAATTAGGGATTGTATTTTTTGTTAGGAATCCAAACAAAACTTTACTCTAATTTTAACTAAAATAACTGTTCTCTTTTTTTTTTTTTTTGGTAAACAAAATAAATGTTCTTTACCAGAACAAACATTTTTTCCTATCTAAAATAAAATAGTAACCACCTAGTATTAGGTTTCAAAATCTCCATGATCGTGATGAAACTAAATGTATGTCATATATTAATAAAGGGAAAAATATTTATCCCTTTAAATGACACAACTTATATCCTTTCACTCTCACAAAGAAGTGGGACCCACACCTTTATTTTTTTGTCAACTCTCTCTCCTCCTTTATCTATCTCTTTCTTTCTCTTAAAATGATACAACTTTACATTCTTTAAAATGACACACACTTTACCCATTAATAAAAGGGTTTTATGAATGTTATATTGCAGGAAGTTTTTTTGTGTCATGTCACTATAATAAAAGGGATAGGTTATTCTACCTATCACTTTTCTGCCTACCTTTGCCTACCACCCTTCAACATATTGGGATTTTGATCTAACGATGTTGAAGAGTGATAAGCAAAGGTAGACAAAAAAATGATAGGTAGAATAACATATCTCATAATAAAAAAGATATCGGTCTATCCACACACAAAAAACAAGATGTGGGTCCCATTAAAAAAAAAAAAGACAAGGCCATTATTTTTATTAAAGTGACATGATACAAAAAAAACTTCCTACAACATAACATCCATAAAACCCTTAATAAAAACTTTCAAACAACTTCAGTCTTATGCAAGTAAATTCATCTTTAACATTTCTCAAAAATTTTTTTTTTTTTGGTACATTGCTAGGAGGTATCCCCATTCAACCTTCTCCGGGCACCATGCCCTCGGGGTACGGCCCGTTTGGGCTAGCCCCTCATTGTAACAGTGGGTGCACTAAGCTTCGCAACCGGAGAAAGGACGAGACTAATCCCCCAACCGGAGATTTTTTGGCTTATCCTCTGGCCCCTAAAGATTTTCCAAGAAACTGCTTGAGGCAGGGTTTGATCCCTGCACCAAGCAATCCCTTGGGAGCTCAGCTGCCAACTGAGCTACCCTTGGGGGTTCATTTCTCAAATTTTAATTGCATATAGGTTATGCAAAAATAATTTACTATAAAATGGGAAAAAGTTATTAAACAATACGTGAAAAAAATAGAAAAAGACAATGTTATTAAATTGTAAGTGTGTGTGAGAGAAAGTAAAATAAAATAAAAATTGCCTTTACAGCCCCTACGACTAATTCTATGAGTAATTGTAAGATGTAATATTCAAGTTTTTTTATAAAAAAAAATAATGATGATGAGCAATGGCGGAGCCGGGTTCCAATTTGAGCCCGGGCCAAAAATATATATGTGTATTTTTTTTTTAAATTTTAGTTAGTTCATATCATAATATTTTCAAGTTATAATAAATGCAGAACACCTGAGCAAGCAGCACTAAGAAGAGTTATAATTTTATTAAATATTTTTTAATTTAACTAAAAATAATTTATTTATTTTTATACAAGTGAAAATTAGACACATAATCTAATATAACTTACCCAAGTCTTTTCTCAAAAATATTTTAAGTTTTGCATAGGGTCAAATTACAAATTGTAGCCCGGAGCAAATTACAATTTTAATTCGGGCCAAATTATAATTAATTATATAATTATATATAATAAATATAATTTGTTAAAATTTAGCCCAGACGAAAGCCACATCCACAGTGTATGTTGCTCCGCCACTGATGATGAGCACTGAAAGCGCAGGAAGCAGCGCTAATAACATTATAGCGGTGTGCAAATATAAATAAATAAATAAATATATATATATATATATATATATATATATATATATATATATATAGGGTTAGGATCATTTTACACCAGTATAAGTTACACTCTTAATCTTGTCCTTTGATCCCACTTATATCTAAGGGCTCTAATTTTTTAGTAATGTAAGCCATTGGATACAAGTGGATCAATGGTCAAGATTGAGTGTAAGACTTCTAACTCTTACACCAGAGTAAGAATATCTTATCTCATATATATATATATATATATATATATATATATATATATATATATATATATATATATATATATATACACATCACCTTGATGCTATTAATGCTACTCCTGCGCTTAGCATTAATAGCACCATAGTGCTATGTAAATATATAGTAGCAATATATATAACATATAGAAATAAAAATTGGGTTATATTTCTCTCATTTCACATGAGAGAAGTTAAATTCCTACACACACAAAATCGAAATAGGTCCCATTTCTATTTTTCTCTTTCCTCTTATTTTGTGGGTCCCATCTATAATATTGTCACTGCTACATGAGATAATTCTCTCATGTAGCATAAGAAAATGATTCCCCATAAAAAATATATAATAACTATGGGTTCAAGTTTTCTCATGTTGTAGGATAGTAGGAGAGAAAAAAAGTAGAGAGAAGTTAAATGTGAGTTCCATCTTTTATATTAAAAAATAAAAATAAAATTAATTGGCACGGAAAACGAATTTGTGTAGGAAAAGATGTTACTCTCATGTAACATGAGAGTATTATTTCCCAATAACTATAAGTCATATGCACATTCTGGAAAGCAACGTGGAAGCATGAAACAAAGGTTGTTAAGATTTTTTTTTCTACAAGCAATGATTACATCCTTTAAGGATTAGTTAGATTCTAAATAAACTTAATTAGTTTTGTTAAGATTTAAGTATATGTAATGATGAGTCAAGTTAGTCAATGTGTGTATTTATATATGCATATGCATACTCTGCTGCTTGAACGAAAAAAAGAAGAAGAAAAGAAACAAAGGTAGAGAATTAGAAAGAAAATAAAGAACCTACATACCAAAAAAAAAGAAAGAAAATAAAGAACCTGCATACCAAAAATAATAATAATAATAAAGAACCTGAGAAAAGAAAGGGAAGGAAAAGAGAAAAGAGAAAAGAGAGGAAACAGAGAAGAGAAAAGCAAAGCAAGAGAAGAAAGAAAAAAGAAAGTAATATTGAGAGAAAAAATTTCTCTCATTTTTTTTTTCATTGTTTTTTTTAAAAGATTTTTAATGGTACTGTTACACTATCAGATTCTTTTCTTAAAATTCTTTTTCTACGTCATTTTATTCCTACCTTTAGTTTTATTATTATTTAGTTCTAAAATCTTTTTTTAAGTTAATTATTGACTGGTGAATTATTTAGTACAAAATAAGTATTAAGAGAATGCATAAATTTTAACTGTATGATATTGTTGTGAATTGACCCACAAAAGTTTGGAATTAGATGGTTATAGGGTAAAGGACGTCTTATCATGACTTGAGCTCCGCCATACAAAATTTTTCACTTGCAGAGTGACCCACAAATTGGGCATTTAATTAGCTTCAGTTAAATATTATATAATTTATTATTTTTGATATTATTTCATTTTTATGAATTTATTTGAGAGAATTATATCTTCCGTTATTGCGGCTAGAATGGTTATAGTTAGAAAATCTCAATATTACTCAATTTTTTCTCATGTGTGTTCTGTTTCTATGCTATCCTTTCTAGAGAATCACCATGCCTAGCTTATGCTTAACGGGTGAAGGATGGGGTGTTACTGTTTACTTCTATGATGATCACATAGAGAGTTCTATGTTATAGTAGGAAATTAAAGAGTTGCCGCAATATTTTATGCTAATAGTGTAGAAACCTACACATATAGATTAGACTAGATGAGACTTGTATATTGTAAAAATTTATGAC